ACCATTTATTTCTTGTGTGCCTCAACTGAACCTGCTCCCACCACAATCAGAAACACTCATCATGCCAATTTTTTTCTTCATGTCACTTTTGGTTCTTTTAGGAATTACTTTAGATCTGTACCCACTCATTCTTGATCTCTTTGGATGGGAGCATTTCCTGCTGTTATCTGTCTAGACTGGTCAGGATTTTAAAGACTTCAATCCAACCTCCTCTTCTCCAAACAGTACACTCCCAGTTTCTCGAGTCTATCTTCATAGAAGAAGTTGGCCCAATTAGTTCATAGAGTTACAATCTTGCAAGAATAAAAACCAGAGTTTTCAGTTAAACTAATACAGGGTATTTTTAACATCATTTCAGTTTGATTAATCTTTTCTCATTTTAAATAGGATACAATGATATGGGCAAGATGTAAAAGTTGTTAAATCCAATGACTGAGAAGTGAATTAATACCAATAGTGACATGGCAATTAACCAATTGTGTTTTGCAACCTAATCAGCTAATTCTCCTGTATCTCATATTAGTGGATTAGGGTGTTCCAGTCTGAAATAATTCTATTCCTAAAAACTGGCATGATCCAAACAGGCAAAGCCTCAATCCTGAGATGGCCAAATGTGAGATAGTGTACATGTAAAAAATTTGATATGCATCACTGGAACATAAATACTGTTTCTTTCACAAAATAAATGAAGCAAATACACATAATGAATAGAATGCAAGACAACAAAATACAAGGTAAAAGTCAACATGCTAGGTTTCACATGTAACACATTGATTGAGGTAAATACAGAGGACCGCAAATCACTAACTTTTACAATAAAGCCAATCGATATGTTATTCAGAAATACCACAGGCATTTTAAAGCATGTCAGAAAACAGAAGGTGTCAGTGATGTATGGACTAAATAAAATGCTGGTTGGACATGCTTCAGATTGCAGCGTGTAGCAAATTAAAACATTAAGTTACAAGTAAACCTTTAGCATTTATATGCTGAATTGTACAGCAATTCTTCAAAATTCATGAAACCAATTGTTTCCAAACAAGCTGAAATGGAGGGTGGTGTTTTCAAATAAAAAATAATCACTTGAATAATTAGTCCAACTTGCAGTGTTTTGTTTTAAAAACAAATCAACCTGATCAGACACATTGTGACACATCTGGGGCAGGTGGATCTCAAAATTGGACCTTCTAGCTCAGATGTAGGGATACTACCACCAGACCAATAGTTCCTGGATCTAACTTGTATCCTATATTAAATACTGCACTAATAGCGTTGTGGGTGTATCCATGTCAAAGAACTACAATGGTTCCAGAAGGTGGCTCATGAATACATTCTCAAGGGCAGCCAGGGAGGAGCAAAAAAGCTCGCCCAGCTAGTGATGCCCACATCCCATGAAAATATATTTTTGGGGGGGGGGTGGGGGGAAACAGCTATACAGACAAAATTAGAGATTAACGCACACATCTTACTTGGCCAATAAAACCTAAAAGAAAGCCCGTACTTATATCATGTCTTTCACAACCTCAGAACATTCTAAACTATAATGTAATAACATTAAGGCAATCTAAGGGATAAATGTTCAACAGGAAGGACCCAAGGGAAGAAATCCCTGATGTGCACAGTAAGTGTTGTGGGATCTTTGAATTTCAAAAGAGAAGGCAGACAGCATTTAACATCTTATCTGAAAGACTGAACCTGACACACACCACTAATAGCACCACACTGAATATCAATTTAGACTTCAAGTTGAATGCTCTGGAGTAAGACTCTAACCTGAAGATCAACAAACTAAAAATACTAAACTTCACTAAGGATTATAAATCTCATTACATATGAAGAACTCATTTACCACACACATCTAAACTTAAAATATTTGAAATAACACCAGCATTTATTTTCAGAGCATTTCTCTGGAAAATTTCAACATTTCAGATAATTTAGTTACAATAATCTTGTGTAATTTACTGAAGCCCTTCAGGAAATCACTTATGCCATCCCTTAACTCCCATGTTGTTTTTGTTAAAGCAGTCTTGTATATAATTAACTGCTGGAAGTTATCACTGAAATAGGTAAACGTAGTATTTTTCTTAGCTCTCAAAGAGTGATGACATTACCAGTTAATCCATTTTTGATGGTCTTGGTCGAAGGAAAAATACTGGTCAAGGTGACAGGAAAACATACCAACTATCTTCAGAGAACACCATGAAATCTTTACAGTACACCTGAACCATCAGAAAAGACAGACAGACTTAATATTTTAACTTAAAGACTTTAAACAATAAAACACATGCTTTATCACTATTTAACTGGATAGATGAACTACTCAAGCCCATGAATGAGCTTGAACTCACAACCTTCATGCAAAATATAACTTGTCATATGGAATTCCAATTCAGATTCATGAAGAAAATTGAACTACCTAATGCCCAACACTGTCAAGTTGCTCTCATCAATTGTTAAACTGTCAGAAAGTCCTAGTGGGAGGTCAGACATTATCCAATAAGATGAGGGGAAGAAAATCAGCAGATCTGACAATACCAAAGGAGGACCACAGCCAAGTGATTACAGAAAAGAGAGAGAAAGGAATTTGTGTAATGAAAGCAGGTAACTGATAATAAACAATTAATCTAGCCCTGCGGTGAATCCATTTCTAAAAGCTTGGATGAAAGGTGCTGATGAAAGTACCCAGACCTGAAATGCTCACTTTGTTTCTCTAGAAAGATGCTACCAAACTTGCCGAGTATTTCAGCACTCTGTTTTTAATTTCAGATTTGCATGCATCTTCAGCATATTGTTTTGGCAGCAAAAAGCTTTGTACTGGTGAACAGTGCAGTACAAGATTGGACAAAAACTGTTCTATTTTAGCCAACGAACGTTAGGGAACAATGTAAGAATACAAGGGCATAAGACACGAGCAGGAGTAGGCCATTCAGCCACTCATGCCCACCCCACCATGGCTGATCTGGCACAGGCACCAACTTCCTCTTTCACACCAGCTCCTCAATCCTCAACTGCTTATTTCAAAAATCTACCGACCTACTCTTTCAATGCTTACAGTGATCTTGCCTTCACAACTCTCTGCAGTAGAGAATTCTACACATTCACTATCCTCTGGGGGAAGAAATTCCTTCACATTTCAGTTTTAAATTAATGTTCCCTTATTCTTTAAGGTTTTTGCAAAGATCTGTAGTTCGGGTTGTGGGTGTGGCTGCTGACTTGCTCGCTGAGCTGGCTTGTTTTCGTTCAGACGTTTTGTCACCAGGATAGGTAACATCATCAGCGAGGCCTCCATGAAGCAATGTTGTTCTACTCCATTTGGAATTTATATTGTCCGGTCTGTTATGGTGAGTTGTGTCATTTCCAATTCTGTTCTGTATGGGTTTGTATTTGGGGTCCAATTCTATATGTTTGTTGATTGCATCACGAGTTGACAACGGTGCCTCTAGGAATTCCCATGCGTGTCTATGTCTGGCTTGGGCTACTATAGTTACGTTGTCCCAGTTAAACTGATGGCCTTCATTGTCAGAGTATACTGATAGTAGGGAAAGTTTGTCATGCTGTTTTGCTGCTAGCTGATGGCTGTGTATTCTGATGGCTAGTTTCCTTCCTGTCTGTCCAATGTTCCAATGTAATGTTTGTGGCAGTCGTTGCATGGTATTTTGTAAACTACGCTGGTTCTGCATTTTGTGGGTATTAATGACCGTGAGAATACATGACCATCAGCTAGCAGCAAAACAACACAATGACCTTTCCCTAATATCAGTGCATTCGGACCAATGAAGGCCATCAGTTTAATTGGGACAAAGTAACTATAGTAGCCCAAGCCAAACATTGACACACATGGGAATTCCTAGAGGCATTGTTGTCAGCCCATAATGCAATCAACAAACGTATAAAATTGGAGCCCATACACAAACCCATACAGAACAGAACTGGAAATGACACAACTCACCATAATGGGCCGGACAGTATAAATTCCAAGCGGAGTAGAACAACATCGCTTTATTGGAGGCCTCACTGATGATGTTACCTAGAATGATGCCAATATGTCTGACTGAAAACAGGCCAACTTGGCGAGCAAGTTCCCCTATTCTGTAACTATGTCCCCTAATTCGAGAATCCCCCACCAGTGGGGGCATCATCTCAGCACTTACCTTGATTATCGATTCTGAGGGATTTGCCAATGTTTCAATAAGTTCACCCCTCATTCTTTTTAACCGTCATGAATAAAGGTCTAACCTGTTTAGTTAGTCTTGATATGTCACCTCTTTATCACAGGAATCAGCATTGTGAATCTGTTTTGAACTGCTTCCAATGCCAGCATTTCCTTTCTTAAATACAGTGCCAAAATTGTATACAGCACTCCAGACGTATCCTCACCACACCCTGCACAGTTGTAACAAGACTTTCCTATTTTTAAACTCCAAACCTCTGCAATGAAGATCAAAATTTCATTTGTCTTGTTAATTAGGACATTGGTTAGACTACTTTTTGAATACTGCATGCAATTCTGGTCTCCCTCTATTGGAAGGAGGTTGTTAAACTTGAAAGGGTTCAGCAAAGATTTACAACGATGTTGCCTGGGCTGGAGGGCTTGAGCTAAATGGGGAGGGCTTGAGCTAAAGGGACAGGCTGAAGCAGCTGGGGCTATTTTCCCTGGGGCATCAGGAACGGAGAGGTGACTTTATAGAGGTTTATAAAATCACGAGGGGCATGGATAGGGTAAATAGACAAGGTCTTTTCCCTGGGGTGAGCAAGTCCAAAACTAGAGAGCAGAGGTTTAAGGTGAGAGGAGAAAGATTTAAAAGGGATCTAGGGGACAATTTTTTCACACAGAGAGTGGTGCATGTATGGAATGAGCTGCCAGACGAGGTGTGGAGGCTGGTACAATTACAACATTTAAAATGCATCTGGTGGGTCTACGAAGAGGAAGAGTTTAGAGGGATTTGGGCCAAATGCTGGCAAACAGGACTAGATTTATTTAGGATATCTTGTCAGCATGGGCAAATTGGACCAAAGGTCTGTTCTGTGCTGTGCATCTCTATGACCCTAATTACTTGCTCTTGCATGCTTTTTGTGCTTCATGCTCGGGAACGTCCAGATCCCTCTGTGCTGCACATGTTTTGCAGTCTCTCTCCATTTAAATAACTGGCTGCCTTTTGATTCTTCCTACCAAAGTGCATGACCTCCCACTATCCTACATTAAACTCTACCAAGCTTTTGCCCACTCACTCAAGCCATGTATAATCCCCCTGCAGGTTCCTTCTGTTCTCATCATCACACTTATTTTGTATCTTCAGCAAATTTGGATACATTTCACTCTGTGCCCTCCAAGTCATTAACAGACAGTAAGTAATTGAGACCCTAGAAGTGATCCTTGTGGCACTCCACAATTTACATCTTTCCAACCTGTAAAATACCCATTAATCCTGACTCTGTCTCCTGTGTTTCAAACAGATGCTCAATCCACGCTATTACCCTTGACACCATGAGCTCCTATCTTGTGCAATAATCTTTTGTGTGAAACCTTAGCAAATGCTTTCTGGAAATCCAAATACACTTCATCCATTGGTTCTGCTTTATCAAGTGTTTGTTATATCCTCATAAAAGTCCAGCAGATTTGTTAAACATGATTTCTCTTTAATAAAACCATGCTGAATCAGTTTGATTGTATTTAGCTTTTTGAAATGTCCTGCTACTTCTTCCTTAATAACAGACTCTGGCATAATCCAAAGACAACTGTTAAGTTAACTGGCCTATAGCTTCCTACTTCCAGTCTCTTCTTGAACAGGGGCCTGACATTAGTGGCTCCAAAACGCTGGAATCCTCCCAGAATTCAGTTTATTCTTGAATATTTTGACCAATGCTTTGACAATCTCTGCAGCCAGTTCTTTCAACACCCTTAGCTGCAGGCTATCAGGTCCTGGTAACTTGTCTGTCTTCAGCCTCAGTTTGTCACAAATACAAATTAGTTGTCCCTCACAATAGAAACTTTTTGCAAGACTTTTCCATTTAGCATCTTGATTATCTCATATTTTTGGGATGTTTAGTGTCCTCAACCATGAAGCTTGATGCTTCATGCTCAAAATATTGGTTTAAATCATTTGCCATTTCCCAGTTCCCTGTTATCAATTCTGCAGTCATATCCTCCAAGGGTGCAAAACGTTTTATACTCATAGCAGCTCTTGCTGTTTGTATTTTTCTTTTATCTCTTGCTGATTTACCTCCAATTTTCTCTCTCTATATTAGCTTTTCAGGCGTCCGCTGCTAGTTCCAAAAATTCCCAATCCTATGTTCTACTGCTTTTGCCGCTCTGTATGCCTTGTTTTGATTGGATATATTCCTTGACTGCCTTTGTTAACCATAGGTGGTTCATCCTTCTCATAGGGTCCTCCTTTTTGACAGGAATAAATCTTTGCTCAGCATTAGATATCGGCTTAAATATCTGCTTGTCTGCCACTTCTCCCAGCCCACGTCACTCAACCTTTTCTATATATAACGCTGTAATTGCTCTTAATAAAGATGAACCCACAGGTTTAGATCAATGTTGTTCTTCCTCAGACTGAATCTGAAATTTTACCATGTTGTGATCACTAACCCCAGATAATCCTCTGAGATCTTTTACTAACTCTACCTCATTATGCATTACTAGATCTTTGGTGGGACAGACCCAATGGGCCATAGGGCCTCTTCTGTACTAAATGATTCTAACTAAAAATAGCCTGTTTCCAGATAGGTTGTTCAACATAGAAACAACTCCTGATGCACTTCTACAAATTTGTCTTTCATGTTACCGTTGCCCACCTGATCCTTTGGCAATCCCTCAATAACTAAGTCAAATTATTGTTCTGCATGCTAAAATTTCTGACATTATTAAGATTTTTTTGTAAATATTCCGTATTTCCAATCAGTTTAGACATGACATATTTACAAGCTTATAAGGTGTATCGCCTATTGATGAAAATGGGTTTAAACTTTCATCCCAGACAATTAAACACATGTTCTGGGTGCATCTCAACAATTTTGAGGCTGCACTTTTACATGAGATATAATATACACAATGGCCTTGGTGTGGCATCTTGTATGATCCATAACTTCACTCACAGAGGAGGGGAGTTCTACAGATATTCTGGGCAATATTTATTCCTCACTCAACATCTTTTAAAAAATAAAAGTGAAAAAAATTCTGAAGGAGAATCACTGGACCTGAAACATTAATTCTGTTTTCTTCCTACAAATTCTGCCAGACCTGCTGAGGTTTTCCAGCAATTTGTGTTTTTGCACCTTCTAAAAATGATCTGATTATTTCCAAATTATTTATGTTTCTCATGCTAGCTGCAGCCTAGATGTGGCAGATGCTGCGACTGAACACACTCCCAGATCAGTCCAAAGTAAAAACGCAAAAATGTGACTAATGTTCTGGATTTTCACTTATTACATTACTTACTGAAATAGGTTGTAATGATTTTTCCTTAAATACGACACAGTTTTGGGTTGTGATTAAGATTTGAAATTGACAATTCAAATTGTTTTGAAGAACTTCAAATAACTCGTTCTATCCAATGAAAGAATTACTTCTAATGAAACAAATTGCTTGTTACATTGTTACTTGCTAAAAGATAAGAATTCGAGTGGAAATTTCATGAAGTCTTCCACTCCAGTGCTGCTTACGTAGACACAACTGTGATTATTCTTTTGTTGTAGATTTATCATGCTGTCGGTGAAATCTCTGCGCAAGAGAAAAATAATCACTTTACTTCTCCTTTACCCTCCCCCCACCCCAATTAATCGTGCGCGAATTTCCAAACCGAAATGTGGCATGAAATTCTGAGACATTTTGAGCTTAAAACGAATGTGCAAATCGACATTCAGGGAAAATATCAGATCTTCAGACTAACCTACACGCGAGGACTTTTTTTTTTAAAAAAAACCATTCCACAATTTCATCTGGAAGACAAGTTGCAGATCATCTTCTTCCACATAAATGATTGTCAGAATTTGCCGTCGATTTTTTTTTTAAATAGCAAAAACATTTCGAACAGTAAGAGTCCCGGAAGATCACCACAAACAGCTCACAATAACAATCGCCCTCAGTCGCAGCCGAAACGGGGGAAAGCCCAACTCATTGCCCCTTTCGGGTCCGCACCATTATTGCCCCTTTCGGGTCCGCACCACTATTGCCCCTTTCCGGTCCGCACTGACCACTCACCCGCTGCATCTCTCCTCACCCACCGAGGTCCGGTCAGCCTTTCCCCACACATCCTAACCGCACCTTTCCCATCACTCTGTAACTATACACAGACTATTCGACGGAACGCCCTCCATTCACGGCGAAAAACAGCACCTTACAGCGCCCTTCGCTGTGGCGTTCGTTGAGACAAAGAGCGCCCGCTGGCGTCAAGATGGTCCTCCCGCTGTGCATTATGGGCCTGTAGCGTGTTATGTCAAGGAACTGTACGACAATTACTGCCCACCAGGTCATTGTTCATGTCCCTGCCAGGGGCAAACTTCTTCACTTGACTGATACCACAGGATCATACAATTGATACTATTAATTGTACAATTACTTCGTGCCAATCTCCTGCCTTTTCCCCAGATTCCTGCACACCTTTTCTATTTTTCCGATGCCCTCTTGAATGGCAGCATATTCCTGGGCTCTGCATTCCATACACCACCTACTCGCTGAGTGAAAAAGTTTCATTTTCCTCACATAGTTCTTTGCTTTGCTTGTGTATCACTTTAAATTTATGTTTTCTCTTTTTTTGAAACAAAACCAAAAACTCAGCAGGTCTGGCAGCATCTGTGAAGAGAGAAACACAGTTAACATTTACAGTCCAGTGACCCTTCTTGACTTGTTCCTTTTTTCTTTTACAAGCCGGAACTGCTTCTCCCTATGTACTCTGTCCAGTCCATTTATGATTTTGAAAAGCTCTTTCAAATCCCTTCCCGGCCTTCTTCTCTCCAAAACAATAGCACTGACTTCTTCAAACTATCCTCATAACTGAAGTTTCCTATTGCTGGATCTATTCTTGTAAATCTCTGCCGCACTCTCTCCAATGCATTCATATCACATGCTCTCAATGTTGAGGATCCACTAAAGCTTAAGGCACAGATGCAATGGAGAAGGTTTTCTGTCTCCTTGTGGGAGAAACTAGGGAGCTCAGTTTAAAAATAAGGGAGTTTTAAGGCAGAGATGAGGAAAAATGTTTTCTCTAAGAGTCGTGAAACTTTGGAACTCTCTTCCCCAGAAAGTTGTGGAGGCAGAAATATTGAATATTATTAAGGCAGATGACATGGGGCTATACAGCATAGAAACAGACCCTTTAGTCCAACTCATTGGTGCTGAAGATATCCTAAACTGATCTAGTCCCATTTGCCAGCATTTGACCCAATCCCTCTAAATCCTTCTTATTCATATACCCATTTAGATGCCTTTTAAATGTTGTAGTTATACCCGCCTCCTCTGACAGCTTATTCCACACACACACCACCCTCTGCTTAAAAAAGTTGTCTCTTTGGTCCCTTTTAAATCTTTCCTCTCTCACCTTAAACCTACACCCTCTAGTTTTAGACTTCCCTACTCTGGGAAAAAAGACCTTGGCTATTCACTCTATCCATGTCCCTCATGATTTTATAAATCTCTATAAGGTCATCCCTCAGCCTCCAATGGTCCAAGGAAAAATGCACCAGCCTATTCAACCTCTCCAGATAGATTCTTGACCAACAAGGAGTGACAGATTATTGGGAGAGAGGTGGGAATGTGGACTTGGGGCCATAATCAGAGTAGATGTGTATTTAATGAGTGGTGGTGCAGATTTGAGGGGCCAAATTGTCTCCTGCTGCTCCTAATTCATTTGATGGTGTGGCATCTGATCCCTGAGTCTCATTTTATTTAGTTTTACATCTAATAAAAGCCCTCACTTTAGGAGAAAGTTTAAGAAGGAATGTAGCTGTTGCATATAAGAATTAAGTACCACAAACATTCTGCTTTACTATGATGTGGAGGTGCTGGTGTTGGACTGGGGTGGACAAAGTCAGAAGTCACACAACACCAGGTTATAGTCCAACAGGTTTATTTGAAAACACAAGCTTTCAAGAAGGACTAAGGCTCCAAAAGTTTTCTAATAAACCTGTTAGACTATAACCTGGTGCCGTGTGATTTCTGACTCTGTTTTACTATGTAATAGCTTATTGTCACACCCTCTTTCTCATCCAGCTGCCAATCAAGAGAAACTAAGTTATGGAAGGTTACCTCTAATGTTTGACCAAAAACTAAAAAAAAACTTTAGTCAATCAAATTAAAGTGATTAAAAACTAAAAATACTGGAATGACAGCCCCTGTGGAAAGAGAAACAGATCAGCTCATCCAAAGTGGCTGCCTGTGTCTTAACTTGCACCAAATCCCACTCTCCCATCACCCCTCTGCTTGCTGATCTATCTTGGCTCTCAGTTATAAAATACCTAGATTTTAAAATTCCAATCCTGGTTTTCCAATTGCCCTAACACCATGCCCATCTACAATTTCTTCCAGCCCCGTAACCCCCCAATATATGAATAGGTGATTGCTATTTGAAATGAGCAACGCACTTGGCAATTGTGTTAATTATTTTCTATAAATTCATTTTAAAAATTAAACAAGACCTCAACGATTTGCAACCAGTCTGCCTCCTTGCTAAACTGCTTCAGGGACATATGAAGCTGCTCTTTATAAACAGCAGGGACAAGGTGCAACTGCTGGGAGAGAATCTGAAGTCTAGCCTAGGAATGGAGGTACATCAAGTTTGGGTGTCTCTGGAGCAACACTCAGACTGGTCTGAAGCAGAAACAGAGTTGCTCTGGCACACATAGTAAATTTCACAAGAGGAAGATTAAATCCAATTTTTAAATTCAGTTCATGGGATGCGGACATTGCTAACAAAGTTAACATTTGTTGCCCATTCTTAATTACCTGTGAGAAGATGATAGTGAGCCTCCTCTTTGTACCGCTGCAGTTCGTCTGATATATGTTTATACACAGTGGTATCGGTATAAATCTGGTATACACACAGTGCTGTTTAGGGAGGGAGCTCTAGAATTTTGCACCAGTGACAGTGAAAGAATGCGATATATTTCAATTCAGGATGGTGAGTGACTTGGGGGGGACCTTACAGGTGGTGGTATTCCCATGTATCTGCTGGCCTTCTCCAGCCAGATGTAGTACTCATGAGTTTGAAAGGTGTCATCAAAGGAGCCTTGGTGAATAGATGGCATGCACTGTAGCTATTGTGCGTCAGGAATGGAGGGATTAATTTTGCGGTTAAGGGTGTGAATGGGGTGCTGATCAAAAGGGCTACTTTGTCCTGGATGTTGTTAATCTTTGTTGGAGGGGCACCCATCCAGCCAGGTGGAACTTCTGCAGTGATATTCTGCAACTAAGCTGATTTGCCACCCCAACAACCATTCTCCTTTGTGCTAGATGTAACTCCAGTTTTTCCCCTAATTTCCATTAACTTTAATTTTCCATCAGCTCCACGATGCCACACCTAGTCAAATGGTGCCACATGTCAACAGCAGTTACTTTTATCTCACCTTTCAGCTTTGTCGACCATGTCTAGACTAAGCCTACAAACAGATCTGGATCTGAATGGTTCTGGAGGATAAATATAATATACTCCACAAAGCAAGAAACATTGTGAAACACAGATTCCAGGAATCATACAAAAAAAGCTAAGGTACAAGATGAAACAAAATGGTCCTCCATAACAAAGTGTGAACTTATGGTTCAGTAACAAGGTAATGCCTGCTAACTCTGTCTGTATTTCTGAGGGAAAACACCCAGAGTATGTCATCTTTTTCTCTGATTCACTTTTCACCTCTGGTTTGGAAAGCCACTTATGATAGCAATAGATAAATTCTGTTCACAAGCTACAGACCAAGAGAACAGGATTCAAATAGAATGGAAGCAGGATATTTGACCTATCGACTCTCAAACAGCATCCCAACCCCCACCCTATAACCCTGCATTTCCCATGGCCAATCCACTTAACCTGCACATCTTTGGACTGTGGGAGGAAACTGGAGCACCCAGAGGAAACCGACACAGACTTGGGGAGAACATGCAAATTCCATGTAGACAGTCGCGCAAAAGTGAAATCAAACCCAGGGCCCTGGTGCTGTGAGACAGCAGTGCTAACCACTCAGCCATTGTGCCACAGTCAAACTGCCTTTGTCTTTTTGTAACTGTCAGTTTGATGCTGGGGCTTCCTGTAGTCGGTTTCATGAACAAAAATGACAACCACACAAATTCTAGTCATCTGGATTCACCTGTTAAATGCTAATTACACAATGCACAAACAAATCCATTCAATGGGGGGCCTAAATTGTTTATCTGGAAAAAAAATTAAAATACAAATCTTAGTGTATTAACTGATTGAGGGTTAAATATTGACAGTTACATACTGAACAGCACTCCATGGAGAACTCATCTATTCTTTGGTAATCAAATTAAGTGGCATTTCTTCATAAAACGACAATGCAACTTTAAACAGCTTCTTACATTTTCACAAATGTGATTTAATTCATTAAACATCTTGAATGGAAAATAATAACAAAGAAAATAAATGTTTGATTTATATTGCACTCTCACAACCTTCGGGGCATCTTGAAAAGCTACACAACCAACGAACTATTTTTTGACATCAACATACTGCAAATGATGGAAATCTGGAATAAAACCAAAAAAAGCTGGAAATACTCAGCAGGCCTGGCAGATTTTGAAAATATGGATTGTAAGAAACACAGAAAGTCAATTTGTACACATGCAGCAAGTCCCCACAAACAGAAATGTAATAAAGATCTGATCATCTGTTGATTGAGGGTTAAATATTGAACAGCACTCCAGGGAGAACAGAACTGTTCTTCAAAATAGTGCTAGGGATCTTTACATCCAACTGAAGTGACAGAAATGACATTGGTTTGGCATCTTGTCGGAAAGATGGTATGTGCTAAAGTAGATCTGATTTAATAATATTTCGTAATGGGAAAATTGGAATTACTGTTGCCCAATGGTCATCCATTTTAAAGTTACATCTTTAATTGTCCTGAGAAGGTAATGTTTTTATTAAATGTTTTCATGTTATGTAAGCATTTCTGGCTAAACCAGTTTTATTTCCTCATCCCTAATTACCCAGAGGGCAGTTAAGAGTCAACTTCATTGCAGTGGATCTAGAATCACATATAATACTGACCATAAGGATGACAGATTTCCTTCCAGTGAACCAGATGGCTATCAACAATGCTTACATGACCACAGTTGGGCTAGCTTTTTAATCCTAGATTTATTTATTGAATTGAAATTTCACCATATACCATTGTGGGATTCAAACTCGTATCCCAAACGTTGGTCCAATGACATTACCACCACA